CAGATTACTCAGCCCCTCCCCCTACCTGTCCCAATTTACAGATGAAGGAATTGAGACTCAGAGCCATCGGACGCTTTGCTGAAGGACACACATTGGTGAGACCAGGCTGGCCCCCAACTCAAAGACCTGTGCTGGCACCACCATGCTAGTGGTTGCCCAGAGAGAATCCAGGGGCAGTGAGTGTGGGGGTGGTGGTGCAGGGTGATCTGGGTGACCAGGCTGCAGTGGTGTGGTGTCTCCTCAGGTGTTTGCTCATCTGTGGGAAGATGAGTGAGCTGATACACAGCAGCTGCTGCTTGGTCAGCAGGCTGTGGCCTTCCAGGCGTGGGGTCTGAGGCCCCCACCTGCCCCCTGTGGGAGAGGCTGGCACTGACCCTACTGTCCTTTAACATTTCTTTCCCTATCTGCCTGCAGACTCTTGTACCCACCGATTTTCTATGTCCATAGCCATCTTTCCATTGTTTACCAAGTGCTGGGAAGCTTGGTGGTTAAGTGTGCAGCCTCTGAAGACCTGGGTTCAAATACTAGCCACGTGACTTGGGATAAGTTAAACTCTTTGCACCTCGGTGGTCCCATCTGTAAAATGGGGGTTATAACAGTACCAACCTCATCAGGTTGTTGCAAATATTAAATAGGATGATAAAGGAAAATCTGCACAGTGTCTAGTTCATAGTAAGCTTGGATTTCTCTAGGCTGTATCACCATGATTAACATGATTTTGGAGGACATGGTACCCCACCTGCATAGGATGCTGGAGACCCAAGGGAAGCAGAGGTCTCTCTGCCCTGCAGATGCTCACAGTCCAGTGGGACAGATGGACACATTCACAAATAGCCCAGTGTGACCAGCGGGAGCTCAGATGAAAGAGCCACAACTTCCACCCTGGAGGGCAGAGTGGAGGGGCAAACTTGGTGAGCAGAGGTCACTGTGAGACTCCGTGAAACAAATTCATGCCAAGCCTGTCACAGATAAAAAGCCCTGCAGGATCCCACCCTTGCCCAACTCTGTAGCCTCAGCCCTCCTCCTCTTATCCCCCATTGTGCACAGCCCTCTTGGGCACAGTAGGTGGCTGTTCCAAACACCCCCTAAGTCTTGGCATTCCCTGGCCTTCTTTTAGCTTTAGAGCCTTCCCTGACCTTGCCCCAGAAAGAATTGTTCTAAGCCCCCATGCCTTGCACACAGCAGGGGCTCTGTGTGGAATGAAGGCCTGCCCACAAAGGATTCCCCACTCTGCAGTTTGTGCACTCTCAGCATCCTTGTGCTTTGCACGGGGAAGGTGTCCAGCTTGGGGACAGGCTCAGTGGGATGCTATGGGGAGTCTCCCACTCTGTTAACCAGAGGCTTTTGTACATTGCCTCCTGGAAGACTGAGCCCTGAGTCTGTGAGCAGGAATTCCAGGCCTGCCTCCTCCTGGTGTGCCAGAGTTAGCAGGCGGCCCTTCCCAAAGAGGAAGGAGAGCTGGGGCTTGTTGAAGGATAAAAGTGAGGGCTGTACGTGTGCTCAAGAGAGCCAGCAAGTGAGAGAAAGGACATCTGCCTGCTGCTGAAGGCACCGACACCCGGCTCACTTCCCTCAAGTCACTGATCTGCTGAGCAGGGCCAGTCTCCTCAATCAATCCATGCTGACAGATGGTAGCGGAATCAGTGACCTAGAGGCAGAGGCTCCATTTGTAATCCCGGAGTGGCCCAGGCGCCTGGAGGAGGGCAGAGGAGTTTGTAATAAAAGGAGTGACACAGGGTTTCCAAAAGCCATCTTTGAGCCAGAGAGGAGGGAAAGGATTAATTTTGCTTCTGGAATTGATACACTGATTCAGTTCACTAAGTATTTTTTGAGTAGATGGGGTTAGAAGAGGGAAAAAAAAACCCCAACTTGTCTACTGCCTTTCCTTAAAGAGCTCAAGTGTGGTAGGAAAAATAGGATCCATGCATTTGAGGCAATGCGAGAACAACAGGAGACATTAATGTGATCGAAGAGGAAGGGGAATGTAGTTATTAAGCTCCTGACACTGTGGGATCTTGGGCAGTAACTTCCCATCTCAGAGCCGCAGTCTGCTTACGTGTCATTTTGTGTCCACATCGTAGAATGGTAGCTGGTGTTAATGTGTGCCTAGTACTGTCCTGAATTCTTTATGTAGATCTCTTTAGATTGCTGCAACACCCTATGAGTAAGGTTATATTATGCCCATTTTACAGCTGAGGAAGCCAAGGTTCAGAGAGAGGAAGTGACTTGTCCAAAGCCACAAAGTATAAGAGTAACCCAAATCTGTCTGTTGGCCATGACTCCCATGCATGTTCTTTTTCTGAATGGCACCAAAAGGGAAAGTGACAGGCCACAGGGCCAAAGAGGACCGGCTGGCCTGGTCCTAGGATTGGGGAAGTTTCTAGGTGGAGGTCAGACAGGCAATGTTCCAGCAGGATCTAAAAGGGTGGGGAGGGGGCTGTAGGGTCATGAGAGGCAGGAGCTGACAGGAGCCTAGACTCCAGTTATCTGTCTGCATTCCTTCCCTTTTAAATGCAGTTCTGCCAGATTATCACCATTCTCCCAGCCCCCCATCTGAGACATGAGTGAGCTAAGGAAGAAGGGGAAGAAGGGAGAAATGATGGGCCAAGAGACTATAAAGAAAAGGGCTTTCCTTTTCTTCATGAATTCTCTTCAAGAAATTGAAGGTGCCCCCAACAGTATTCAGGAAGCTCCCCTGCATTCTCCCATTTTTGTCCAGAAAACATGGATCTGTGCCTAGAGTCCCTGTATCTTTCCCTCTGCAGCCCTGAACTAAGCAGAAGCCAGGCACTGGTCTTTTAAAAGTCTTGAGGCCCGAGAATTTGAAAATGAAACTCACAGTTAGAAGAACAATGGAACAGCCAGAGGGCAGGGCTTAGTAGCCAGCTCAGCTTTGCCCCGGAAGAGCCTGGCACCCTGCCTGGCATGCAGGAGGTATTGAGGACTCAGGTCCCCAGGAATAGTCCTGACCCGCATTGCAGCCGCCCCCACTTTAAAAGATTGGACAGAAGCCAGGGGGGATCACTGCCTTCCCCAACCACATCCTCCTGCCAGAGTCCCAGAACCACCTCTGCCCCTGCCTGGGATCCTGGGACCCTCCTTGGGTGGCCTGAGATGAGGCAAAGCATTAATGCCTTTGGCTAGGTGGGGTGAAAGGTGAAAGGGTAAAGCCAGACCCCGGGGAGTTCTGTTCCTCAAATATACTGAAATCTGGGCCCCAGGCCATACCTGGTTCCTGTCAATCTCCACCTGCTGCCTGAAGCACTTTTCCCATCCCAGTTTACTTTCAAGTTGGGTGTTGCTTCAGGAGAGAAAGTTACTTACTTCCCTAACATCTAGGACAGATGGGAACCTAATTTAGAATCAGCAATTTTAACCAACATTAGGGACATCAAATCCAATTCTACTCACCAACAGGAAACTGAGGCCCAAAGTGGGGAGAGAATTTGGCCAGGTCAAAGGTCAGAGGCAGGATCACAAACACTCCAAACACATTCTACCCTCCCTGGCCTTCTCACTAATTTTTTCGGGGGAGTTGAGGGACAGGGTCTTCTTGCTCTGTTGCCCAGGCTGGAATGCAGTGGCCTCATCGTAGCTTACCATACCCTCAAACTCCTGGGGTCAAGGGATCCTCCCACCTCAGCCTCCTGACTAACTGGGACTACAGGCTCATGCCACCACACCTGGCTAATTTTTTTGTTTTTTGTAGAGACTGAGGTCTTGCTATGTTGCCCAGGCTGGTCTTGAATGCCTGGCCTCAAGCGAGCCTCCCGAATGGGCCTCCCAAAGTGCTGGGATTACAGGCCTGAGCCACTGCACCTGGCCCTTTCTTACTTTTGATGGCAGTGAACCACATGGCACCAACATTCACACGGTGGTGGTTCTGTAACAGCTTTTGTTAAGAAAAAAGTCAAGTCCTTCCTTTATTCTATAAATGTATCAGGTTTGCAAAGGAAGCCTGGGACCGGGCCGAAGCCTTGGCACCGCAAATCCTCTGCCTTATCTCCAGATTAATTCTGGACCCTGGGTCCTGCCAGCCAGGCAGTGCAGCTTCTTAATGCAGCTGCAGAAATGCAACTGACGTTTGTGGTGCGTCTATTTAACACGTGAGATAGGTAGGCCTCCCTCCTCGTCGTTTTTTATTGCTGAGGAAACTGAGGCTCTGAGGGAAACCGAGTCGTGCATCCAAGGACACTGGGCGGCAGGGGCGTAGGCCGTGGAACCAGGGGACCAGGCCGGCTGCCCCAGGGCCCAGATGGGTCTTGGCGGGCAAGACCCACCCCCATGCCAGGCCCACCAAGAGGAGGCCGGCGGGCTCTCCGGGCTGCCAGAGGCGCGATTCTGGCGTTGGAGGCTCCAGGGAACTCCAGAAATCTCAGTGAGAGATTCCGGGCCACCAACTCCCCAGAAAGTTGGCTTGCGGCCACCCCCAAGACGGCCCCAGGCGCGGGCCAACACGGCACTGGGCGGGCGGCGTGCTGCGCTCCGCCGCTGCCGAGAGAAACCCCGCGGGACTCCGCCGCCGGGCTGGGGTCTCCGCGGCCCCCGCCCGGCGCGCGCTGGCCTCAACGCCGGCGCACGCGGGTGGGCACGCGCGCGCCCGGCCCCGCCCCCTGCCTCCCCGCCCCCGCCGCGCGCACCGCCCCGCCGCGCGCCCTCCCGCCCGCCCGCGCGCCGCGGCCCGGAGCCTCCCCATTGGCCGCGCGCCGTCACCTGACGCTCTGTTATTTCCTGTGTGTTGGGAGAATGGAGAGAAAAAACCCCGAACCGAGCCGCTTTCGGCCCCTGCGAGGCGGCCGCGGCCTCCGCCAGGGGAGCCCGCCCTGAGGCGCGCCCAACTGGGGAACGAGCGCGCGGGCCGGAGCGAGCCTCGAGGGGCCGCGGCCCCGGCCCGCCCGCCGCCGGCCGGGACGCCCGAGCTGGAGGCGGCGGAGCCACCCCCACCCCCACCCCGCGCAACGCCGCCCGCCGCCGCTCCCTCCCCTCCCGCCCCCGGCGGAGGCCAAGGGACGGGGCGGGGGGCTTCAGCAGGTAACCGCCACCCGGGCCTGAAGGAGGAGGGAAAGGGTCGGGCCTGGGGGCTTGGGGTCAGTCGGGGTGTCCAGCCTGGGGGTCTGGGAGCAGAGGTCCCGGCCCGACCTGGGAGTATTGAGCCTCCTGGACTCCGAGCTGGGGCTTAAGGTGCTGAGGAGAATATTCCTGCCCGGCCAGACCCAGGAGTGCGGGGCGGGGTCCTGGGCCGGGCCTGGCCTGGCCTAGGGGTGCTGAGGCGAAGGGGTCCGGCTTGGCGTCAGAGGGCTGAGGTGTCTCGGTCTGACTTGGGAGTCCGGTCCTAGCTTGAGGGACGCAGGGAGAGGTACCTGCTCGTCGCGGCCTTGGGTGCAAAGGCGGCGGGTGTGAGCGGGGTCAGCGCCGCCTGCCCCGGGGCCCTTAGCAGCCCCTGGGGACTGAGGACGCTCTCCTCTTCGCTGCGGGCTGGAGGCGAGGCCAGCGGGGCGGAGGGCCTTGGAGTCGGAGCGCGCCCCAGGCCGCGGGAGGGACGGGGCCGTTTATTGCCGTGTGAACACCTGAAGCCATGTGGACGCGGCTACTTCTCGCGTGTTGGAGGCGGAGGGCAGGTACCCGCTGGCAGCGCGCAAGGTCTCCGCGCGGGGAGCGGAGCACGGGACACACTTCCTGTGTGGGGCTTTCTCCCCTCCCCCGCCGCGGTGAGCCGGGCGGGGTGTGGGATACGGCGGTCTCCGTGCGCGAGGGAGCGCTCCTTTGGAGACCTGAGGCTCTAACCTTCTCATGCCTTTCTTTGGGAGGTGGGGGAGTGGTGGTTGAAGGTGGTTGACGGATCCGGCCGATTCTTCTCCGGCTGCGGCGGTGGGTGCAGTGTCTTCTGGGCTCTGGGATGGGAGTGGAATTTAGTGAGTTGGGGGTGGGGGGCGGTGCCAAGGATCGGCCGCCTTCCTCGGTTTGTGGGTGGGAATTATTGTCTGTTTTTGTGGTTGTGAATACTAGCATAGTCTGTATTCAAACCTTTAGTTTGACTTTAGGGGTCAGGTGAAAATTAGGACTTTTTTCCTCTTTCTTCTTGGCTTTTTTCCCCTCGAAGATGGATGGAATTTTCGAGCTATTATCTAACAGGCTGATCTTTGAATGATAATTGGACCCTTATGTTAACAGCCTCAGTGAAGAGTGAAAAGTTTTATAAAACATCTTATAAGGGGTAGCAGCTTGGTGGATGGGGAAACTGCACTGAATTCCGACCCAGGAGATCAGGAATCTACTTCCAGCTTTGCCACCAGATAATTTGCAGCTCTGGGCAAGTTACCTACCTTCTCAATGCCCCAATTTCCTCATGTGTAAATGAGGACTCCTGCCAGGTCAAACATTATAGGAGCTTTTGGTTTTGTTTTTTTTTGTCTCTCTCATGTTGTGCTCTCATTTTAGCTATGGGCAACTTTCCTGAGAAATGCAGGCTGTACCTTAGCTGAGATGACTTTTAAAAGCCTGTTTTCTAGTTTCCAGCCTCTTCCTTATCCAACAGAGCATAAAACTTGGTCAGGATACCGTCTTCCGTGAAATTCCAGGTGCTGTTCCGTGCTTCAGAACGAGCAGTGTATCATATTCTAGCCTATGTGGAATACACCTTATTTTTATTTATTTCTTTTTCTGTCTTTGTGGAAGAAGTTATCAGAAAAAAGACTTCAGAGAATGTTCGACTACTTGGGAGATGTGGGCAACTTTTTTTTTTTTTTTGATACAGAGTCTTGCTCTGTTGCCCTGGGTAGAATGCAGTGGCGTGATTATAGCTCAGTGCAACCTCAAACGCATGGGTTCAACCAGTCCTCCTGCCTCAGCCTCCCAAGTAGCTGAGACTACAGGTGTGTACCACGATGCCAGCTAATTTTTCTATTTTTCTGTAGAGGCTGGTCTTGCTCTTCCTCAGGCTGGTCTCGAATTCCTGGCCTCAAGCTATTGTCCCCCCTGGCCTCCCAGGGTGCTATAATTACAGGCATGTGCCACCTAGCCCAGCCAATGTGGGCAACTTTTGATTAGGTCTGTGTCTGCTGCTTGACTCAAAGGAGTTCCAACATCTTCCTATACCGGAGATTGTGGAGGGATCTTGTTAAAGGTTCTTTCAAGGGACATTTAGCTAACTTTTGAAATTTCCAGCTTCAGTATTCTCAAAATAGGGGGATGAGTGGAATGCCCTAGTATCTTCTGTGAGATGGTCTGCCAGTGGAATTAACTGTCACCTCAGGGTGCACTAATTATCTGCATCCCCAATTTATTCCTTAATGGTAGCCGGATGCTCCCTCAGATGCTGAAGAACCTCAGTTAGTTTCACTGATTTTATGGTGTGTGAAGGCCTTAGGCCATGCTTTTGACTGGTGAGTATTTCTAGACCAACCTCAGAATTTGTCTCAAATTTCTAGTACTGTGATGTTTGACAGACATGTGCCCAGTGTGGTATCATATGTCTATCATTCTTAGGTCATTCTATCATTCTAAGGTCACTTTTTTGTTCAGACTTTGCAAACACCGTTTCCAAAAGGGTCCCCATGAGGTCAGGGCGTTGTGCTCATAATGTTGACTTTGGAGATGGTTTGGTGGAAGTTTTCTTGTATGATAACATCAGGCCCTTTACATAGGTAGACACTTTTATACAGCTATACAGATTATTTCGAGTTTCCTGAAATAAGCATTTTTTCTACATTAGGATTTGAGTTATGATCTTGTGTTCAGTGTGGGATTTTAAAAACCCTGGTTACTCGAATTGTAAGCAGTTATCCCACTCAAAGCAGTATCCTACTCAGATATTATGCTTGTCTTGTAACTTATGAGAAAAATAGTATTATAAAACTTTTATTCTACTGAGGTAATTTTTGTGTGTGTATTTATGTGAGAGAAGGTTGGCAAAATTGGTAAGATGTCAGGAGACATGGCTTTTAGGTTCCATAACCTTTTAGTGGTATACTTTTTTTAACTCTATAAAGTAAGATGGAATGTCATTGAAATGATCATGTCTATTTATACCAAGAAATTAGAGTTGGACTACTACTGATGATTTCAGCCTGCTCTTCTTGTAGATGGGAAAGGATGCTAACATTTGTGCAAAAAAACAAGCCTTTATGCTACACTCTGTCCAAAGCATTTTAAATTGTCCTAACAACATCCACCCAGCAGACCTGAGAGGTAGGTCATCCTTTCCCTGAGAGGTCGTAGAGCTAGTGAGAGTCAGGGTTGGATGTGACTCCTGCCCTTAACTCCAAACCCTGTACTGTACTAGGTCTATTAACAGCTCACTTCCTGCTCAAGGCACAAAACAGCTAGTGGTAGGTGTGGCCCTGGAATCCATAGCTTCCTCTTGTGCCCCTCTTTTATTTTTTTAAAGCTGAAATCTGAATTCAGGTAAAATACCAGAAAGCATGGCTTCTGTGGCTGCTTGTGCTTTTGTGACCTTGGGAATTTTCTAAACTTTTACTTTATGCCTACCTGGTCAGTTTTGCTAGTGTACCTGAGATTTAATCTATAAATCTTTCATATCCAATTCTGGTGTTATGTCTTGAGCTGAAAACTTTTGTATCAGCTCAGAGAGTGATATAATACATAAAGGGCTGTCTCTCCCTGTTTGTTACTGGTTTACAATGCACAGGAATCATTATGGTGACTGCTGTCAGTTTGACCAGGTGAGACTCGAAAGATTTTACCAAAGACAATTCTTCCCCAATATCCATTAAGCACCCTTCCTCAATGGGAGGGCGGGGGGAGGGCGAGGGTTGTGGTCAAGGCACCTTAGTATTCATTAGCTCTGTCCAGGGCTTCTGACTCTGCTGCCTTTATTTTCTTTTTTGGAGGTATAAAAAGGTAACAAAATAAAGCAAAACAATAAAGCCCTATTTTACTGGAATAAAACAGTATATCAGACTTATACATTTGTAATACAGTATACTGAAATCAGAGCTTTCATAGTTAAAGCATAATTTGGTCACATTGCACTGGGTGGTTTGATTATTGGTTAGGCTGTTGAACGTCCTTTAATACCCATGGTACCTGCAGTATGGGTGAAAAGGTTCTCACTGTAATAAACACAATCAGTACTTTTCTGCATTACAGCTATGTTTGCTTTGTAGGTAATGCATACAACCCAGCAGGAAGATGAACTATAACATGAGTTATTGGCATATCTGTGGCTTATTATCTGATGCTTCATTGTGGGGAATTAAGAAAGAGAAAACATTAGCCACTGGTGAAAATATCCTTATTGCAGTATGTAAGCTATTCTATAGGAAAGGGTAGAAATTCATCGAACACATGAATGTCAGGTTGATTGGAAGATGGTTTCCACATTTGAACATCACATCCCTGCATGTGGATTAAGGTCCTCCTGTGTTTTTTTAAATTTTCATTAACAAATGTTTATAGGCATTGTTTTAAGCATAGGAGGTGCAGTGGTGGGCAAGAAAGAGCCTACTTTAGAGATTGTAAACAGTAAGTAAATAAAAATGTTAGGTGGTGATAATAGCTGTGAAGAGAATAAAATAACAATAGAATAGTGACTTGGGGGGTGCTACTTTAGAGTGGCCACAAAGAGAGTCCCTGTTCTGAATCCTTTTCTGCCAGGAGGATAGTCAAACTTGATCTGCGGGATGGATGAAAATGGCATTAAACTAAGTAAATAATTTGATTTAGCTTTGAACATCTTGAGAATTTAATGCAAAGGATGGAAGTGGGCGGAAGTCTTTCCTGTGTTTATATAGCATTTTTATGCTTTGTGAATAGGGACCTGGTTCAAAAGAGCTTTAGGGAGATCATTAGTGGTACCTTGTGAAGGCTAAGAAAGGAATGTTGTCTGCTTTTTTAAAAATCATCCTGATAAAAAAATGTAGAGATGTGCTATAATATTGGTGAGTGCTAGGCAATATGGGAAACATTCTTTGGTAGTGTTTATGTTACTTTATTGGGGAGTTGGATTAGGGTGTTAGAATCATTGTACTTTGTTAATGCTTCAAATGAATCCAGCCAGCAAGTATTAGTGA